GGGGCCCGCAGGCTCAGCGCTCCATGGGGGCGGGCCTCCTCGGCCGGCGCTCGGCTTCCTGTTCAGAGGCTGCAGGGCGGTAGGCGGCGGCGTCCCAGCCCGCGTACGCTCCAGCGCGGTGACCGAGAGCCCGCCGGCACAGGGGCTGCGTTTTGTGCCACTGCGCCGCGGCCCGGCCCGCATCGCCATGGCTCCAGTACAGCTGGAGAACCACCAGCTGGTCCCGCCCGGAGGCGGCGGTGGAGCCAGCAGCGGCCCCGCGTCAGCCCCAGCTCCTCCTCCTCCTGGAGCCGCCGTGGCGGCAGCCGCCGCGGCTGCGGCCAGCCCTGGCTACCGACTGAGTACACTCATCGAATTTCTGCTACACCGGGCCTACTCTGAGCTCATGGTGTTGACGGACCTGTAAGTGCCGCGAAAGCCATGCCTGCTCCCCAGCCCCCCTCTCCCGCCTGCCGGCTGAGAGAGGGTTGCGCCTCTCTCACCCCAAGAGGCTGCTGTTTTCTCCGCTGGGCTGCTTAGTCTAGAATTTGGAACTCCTGGGGTTCGGGGAGGTGGAGAAGCTTTGTATTGGGGTCTCGCCGACGATGAAGCAACCGCGACTTGCTCGTTTTGCGCGTTACACTTTCATTGAAGATTGTCTTTGGGATTCTTGTCCGAGTTCCCAGCAGAACTCTTATTAATTTCTTGGCTGGAAGCATTTTAGCCCTAAGCCCGCAATTAGAGTTGAGAGTTTAGGAATGCGTAAGATTTGAATTTTAAAAAATCCCCAAGACGGGAAATCTGTTTTACAGTCTCTTGAGAATATATTGGAAATGTAGCTACTTAGTAATTGCTGCTTTCGCATGCAGGAGTTAGTGTGTAAAATAGACTAACATTTTAGATTCTAACTATTTCTGAAACGTTTGAGAGTGAAGTCTAAATTAATTTAGCGAAAGTAAAATGTTTTTTGTAACCGGCCTGTCATTTCAATCACCTAGGTACCTGTGAAATGCCTTGGGGCTTGATTAGGGTGTTAATCCCTTCAGCCTAAGATCGGAATGCACTGTAAGGATTCTCTGTGTGTAGAAAAAGTGCTGTAAAGTTTTGAGGCTCAGTTTTACGTCTTACAGCTTAGGCTGAGAAAAAATAAGTCCGTATTCGTTTTGATCTAGTTTTTAGCTTTTATCCGTTGTAAGACTTAAGCGTATTCACTTAAAATGTATTAGTATGCAGATATTAGGTTTGTAGTGTCTCAGTCATTTGTTACTAGAGACTTAAAATATTCATTTGCACGTGACTAAAAGAATAAAAGTTCCACTTACTCTTGCAAAGTCCAGTTTTCACTCAGTTTTGATGTTATTTCGTCGGATGAAACGAACAGGTGGAAATTAAAGAAGCCTTCTATTCAGCGACCCTTTTAAATAGCAGTGATGATTAGAAATTATTGTAATGTACTCCTTTTGTTTGATTTCATAAAAATTCAAGCGTACCCATGAGAAAGTTCCGTGTATGTGACCTGGCCTATGTTCGGCTGTGGAAAAAAGTGTTGAAAACTGTTGCTGCCAGTGTGTGTGTGTAGTTTATTTTTCTGTACACGATTTGTAGAAATTTATAGTGTATTCTTTGACTAGGACTTGGTTTATGACGAACGAAACATCTGTTTTATTGCTGTAGAATAACTACATACAGTCCCACACCCTTTGTAAGATGATAATTCCCATGCTGTGTCTCCAGCACAGACCTCACTGAACTCCACTTAGGCCCTCGTGTCTACATTTCAGTAATCTCATTTCAGCATACCAGGGCCAAATTCTCACCTCTACCTCAAAACCTTCTTTCCTATTGCTCCAAGTACTTCTTTCACCCTTCCTGTTGTTGCTCAGACTTATTTTGGATTAATTCCAGGTTGTCTCCTAGTCACACCCCACACCCAGTGAGTCTAATCATCCCTGACTTGAGAATTTGACCATTCCTCAATGCTTCCACCAACGGGTGGTCCAAGCCACCCACCCCATCCTTATGGTCTGCTTACTGGTGTCACTTCTGCTATGCTCCCCCTGCTGCTCTTTTACAGGGTTTTTTTTTTTTTTTCATGAAACAGCCAGGAAAAATCCCTTTGAAACTTCTCTATTAGGAACTTTCCAGAGATTTCTTCATCATCTCACTTAGATTAAAAAGTTTTTATAGTCTCTTAAATGTAGGGTGACCATAAAATTTATAGTTCAAACCAGGACACTTTTGTGCATAAGTGGGTGCTGTTGATAACAATGTCTGAGTAACAAGCATAAACCAAAACCGTCTTGTGCAAACCAGGCCATATGGTCAATTTACATGAACTGTACCTTCTCTTTCTTCTTTAATTCATGTCCTCATACTTTTGCTTATAGCTTTCCTGGTACTTCTTGATGGTTCCTGACACACTCCCACCTTGGAGCTTTTGCTCTTCCAAAAATCTGTGTGATTTGCCCTCTTTTATTGGGGGGGTTTACATCACATATAACTTAACAGAAAGACTTTTTGGATTACTCATAAAATAGCACATTGCCCTTTCACAATAGCCTTCTTGGTGCTTTACTTTTCTCTACAAGACGTACTGCCACCTGACGTTGTTAGTATGTTGTTGTTTGTCTGTTGCTGGAATGTAAGCACCAGAAGTACAGGGATTTCTAATATTTGCTGCTTTGCCCAGGGCCTAGAACAAATGCTTGGTACATACTCTGGGCTTAAGTATTTATTGGTTTAGTACATGAATGAGTGAATATTTAGAATTGTCTTTGTAAATAAGGAGAATTTGATGGGGAAAGTCCATTGCTCTTGATACAAAGATGTATAACTTTTCATTTTTATTCTGTGGTAACCAAAATTAGCAATGTAATGTGAAATTTCCTAAATAATGTGTTTTCCCTTGTTCAGGTAGAAGCTGTTGAGATTAATGTAACCTGTAGAGCCAGTGTTCTAGTGTGCTTTATAAGAGACTATAAAGACTCAGTTACTTATTTCTGTATCACTTGCTCTCTGTGAATTATTGAGGGTAAGAAGGACAGCCTTGGCTTTGGTTTTGTTTCCTTTTGTGGGGAGGTACTGGGGATTGAACTCAGGACCTGCTTACCAGGCAGGTGCTTATTTTATTTATTTATTTATTTATTTATTGCGGAACTGGGGATTGAACTCAGGCCCTTGTGCTTGCCAGGGAAGCGCTTATTATACTGAGCTATCTCCCCAGTCAGCCAGGTGCTTATTATGGTACTAAGCTGTCTCCTCGGCATGGTGGTTTGGTTTTGGTTCCTAATTTCTGAGCGTTTTCCTTCTGCTTGTCTATCCCCTCTCTTTCCCCCATCACAGACAGATACATACTAAAGCTTTCTCTCTGCCTGGACTTTTTAGGACTTAGTTTCTACTCTTTTGATTAGAATTGGAAAATGCTAGCATCTCAGTCATGTAAACTTGTCATTGTACTTTAGCATAATATGTTTTTATGCCTTACTTCTTCCAATATTTGCAGTTTAGGACTTTTACTCCAAATGGTGGACTTTAGGAATTTAAAATAGGTTAGAATGGGGTCGGGGACATGGCTCAGTAGAATAAGTGCAAGGGTCTGAGTTCAGTCCTCGGTTCTGCACCTCCCCCCACCCAAAAAAAAAGGTTAGAAGATAGGGGAGTAAATGGGAGGCAAGCAGAAAAGCCTGTCCTTTATCCCCAAAATGATAGCACTTCTGATGTGAGACCATCCCTTTAGGGTCTGTAGGGCAGGCAAGAGGAGCTGGAACAGTGGTTCTTGTTCTTTGTACCCCCCCATCCTCTCTCAACCCCCTTCTCACTCTCACAAGCAACTCATCCTTTTCATTTTCTCTCCCTTGAGGACCAGACCATGGCTTCCCTAGGAGTGTTTTTAGGAGCTTTTGCATGTAGAAGAATTTAGCAACGACTGCTTTTATTTGCGGTCTTCTAATAAGCCTTTAATTTCTGCTTTATCCCTTTTCTGGCCCTTATCAGTGCTTGCCTAGTTCTCCTTATCATTCTGATCATAGCTTGAGCTTCCATCTCACTGTATTTCTTGAAAATAGCAGGAAGCCAGAGCTCAATTTAATCTCTCTCTCTCTCTCTCTCTCTCTCTCTCTCTCTCTCTCTCTCTCTCTTTTAATACCAGAGCTTGAACTCAGAACCTTGCACTTGCCAGGCAGGCTCTTAAGCCACAGAGCTATCTCCCCAGCCCTAGAGCTCATTATGTCTCCTCTTTGTACTTTGAACCTTTGGAAGTGGGCTTAGTTTTTCTGATTCTGTGGCACGTGGGTTGGGGAGCATCTAAGGTGTTGAGTGTATTCTTTCTTTTTAAAAATATTTAGTGGAATGGGCCGGGGAGATAGCTCAGTGGAGTAAGTGCTTGCCTGGCAAGTGCAAGGGCTGAGTTCAATCCCTGGTTCTGCAAAAAAAAAAAAAAAAAAAAAGTAGTGGGGGCAGGGAGATGGCTTGGTGAAATAAGCGCTTCCCTGGCAAGCACAAGGGCCTGAGTTCAATCCCTGG